ATAATTCTCTTTCTTTCCCTTATACCCTCAGCTTCTCTAAACAAGTAATAGCAAGATAAATACATTCAGAGAATCTAAAAGTATCATAAGAAAAAACATAAATCACAAAATCCTGTCATGATTGTCAAATCCATTCTACAGATCATGAAACATAATTAGCTTAACCTCAGCTTGATTGAAGAAATGTTTTAAAAACACGAGCTGAGGAATGCCAAAATCTGAATCAATGAACATTACATGAATGAAATGTAACTGAAGAAACGTCATACCTAATGTCCTTAAGTCCTTCTTCAGCTCCAAAAACCGCCTCCTGGTCATCTCTTCTTGAAGAGAAGGCAGAAATGCTATCATAAGCGAAGTCCAAGTCTTCCCCCTAGTTAGATGAAAAATATCAAGCATCAATGAATACCTAGAATTGCAGCGAAACAAACAGAAACCTGTTTCTATATTAAAAAAAAAAAAAATGATGAAGACCAAGCATGCGGAAATTACCTCCAATAGCTTTCCTTCTTGTACAAACTGCTCATACCTGCATTAACACGTTTTAAACAAGAAGAGTCGTGAAGATCAAATTTAGCGAAATCTCACAGTTTCTGCAACAAAATCGCAAAAAGAAGAAAGAATGCAGCAGAAATAATCACTCGAACTGATCCTACCACAATCAGGAGCCAAAGTGGAGTGCAGTTTTCTCGGGAACAAGCAAACGGAGAAAAGAAAATGGAGATGAGGGAGAGAGGAAGGAGGAAACTCACTGGGAGAGGTCGGAGAGGGAGAGGACGTTGGAGGGACGGAGGGAGGAGCAGATCCAGTCGAGGATAGGGCGGGCGTCATCATACTGGAAGGGCCATTCGAAGCTGTCGCGGTCTAATTTGTCAGCCCCTTGGTACCCCAATTCGGAAAGCAATGCGCACAGTTTCGCCCCACTCATCTTCAGATCTTCTCTTTATCTCCGAATTCAGATATTGAACTGGAGCTTTCCTTTTCTTTTTTGGCGCCTGCCTAATTGAAAAATGAAATGCGAAATTGAGAATGCTGGTGGAGGAACTCGAAGGTGTACAAAAAAATTTCTTTTCTTTAACTTCAAATTTTTTAACAAAATGTCATCGGCAGAGCCACTAAGAATCAGAGGCTATAAATTGAGAATTTCAAGTTTGAAGTTAAAGTGGTTGGGATGGGAAATTATGTCTCCATTGAAATGGGTGGGTAGAAATAAGGAAAGGAAAGGTAAAAACTTATGTTAAAAAATAATAATAATAAAATTATCAGAACATGAAAATAATAGTAATAAAATTTATTTAAATTAATTTTAAATTTAACTACATAATTAATTATTTAATATTGCAATTAAAAGTTTGAAGCATCTGCACCGAGCCCTTCAGATCAAGTGGCAATACCCACCATGGTGCATTTCCCCTTTCCCAGGACTGGGTTCGAACCCAGTACTTGTAAAATCAGTTCAAAAAAAAAAAAAAAAGGGTATGGAGCAACTGCAAGGTGTAATTTTGCCTGAAGATCTAACACGCGAAAGGGCAATTAGAGGTAATGAATTCGAATTTTTGTATGAGTGGGTGGCGTTTGAAGATCTAAGGGTTATGTTGCCCCATCATCAAAAAAAAAAAAAAGGAAACCATTGATTGAACAGAATCAGCATACGATTTGCGGGAATGGATTGTCACACAAATGCAGTACTTTCTGACAATGGTCGACAAAAATAGATCCTTGTTAAAGAGTTAAGGGGAATGACTCTGGATAGCTCATGTTTTGCTTGATGCTCTAGCTCCTTCTTTCACTTGATGACACTTCCTCTAGCCCAATGATTACTTCCAAGCCCTAGGATTGGGAAAGGCATTGTGTAGGCCATTACTCAACAAAACGAGCTTCATCTGAATGTACCAAGATGAATCCTTTCTAATTACTGAGTAAGTCGGAGGGTGAACAAGTAAATATTTTACCGTACTATGACACCTAATTCAAAATAAAATGAAAACTACCCAATTAAAAATAAATGAAAACTAAACAAAGTTATAAATAGGGATTCAATTGATTTACTTCTATACTTACATTGCAATTTTTATAGAAACACATTCAATTTTTACAAGAAATGTTACAAATACTAATAATTTAAGTAATTTAATGGTAATTTTTTTAATAAAAATACAAGATTTTGAATTCCAATCAATACATAAAAACAAAACCACAACCACCTCTTTAGTCTTCACGTAGAAGATACATATCGTCTAGACACATCCGCTGGAATATGTAGTTGCAGTCTGACCTTGAGTATTGAAGGGATAGATCATCTCTACAAGGTTTATCACACTTGCTGCATTTAGGCGAGGGTTAAAATCTATCTTCACAAATGTGACATGGTGTTCATCATCAGCATACTTGAATGGTTCCCCCAGCTTGGGCATTGCCACACAATCAAGATGAGTAGAAACATCGCAACTGGCACTCAACAATAAAACCATTGATTTGGGTCTCTTCGTTCTTAAAATGTCACACAATCATTTGCTCAGATCATCTTGTTTGGTAGCACAAGGCAGGTATAATTTAAAAGCAGAATTGCATTTTAGAACATATGTAAGGAAAGCTAAACTGATTTCCATCACTTCCACATGCATTGCAAATGAATGAATTGTGGCTGAAAAGGGGTCAACGGATGTTCATGAGTTTCAGCTATAATACTATACTAGACAAATTCTTCTTCATAAGACATGTTGCACAAATGGCAAGAACATTATGTTGATGTGGTGGGGGTTTGACCAAAAAGAATAAGAGAGTGTTTTCGGTGGCTAGGGCGATTGATCTCAAGAGGTAACTCTGCACATTTCTCCTAAAGGTGAAATATACAATCAAGACAATAGTAGAAAGGACTTGACATGATCCTCTTACATTTACTTGAGCAAACTTCAATTTTTCTTCCAAGATCAATTTGTTTAACAAAGGTACATGGAAGATCTTGGCTAAAATGATGAAGCTTTAGAGAATCTCCAGTGACAAATCATGGATGCATAGCACATCTAATGTCAAGGTTGCAATTGCAAAAAAACCACCACTTTTCAATATGGTTAAAAAGGACAAGATTGTGTTGCGGGTGAGAGAGACGATAGATCTGACCTGGTAGCTGGGCACAGTTCTTATGAAGGAAAAAGATGCACTTGCCACAGCTATAGCTGGAACCTTCTACTGCTTCCTCACATCCAAAGCAATAATTTTTTGGGCTTTCATCATCCATCTCTTCTGCAAGCACCAACGGGTGTCCATGGCTGCAAAACTTAATCTCCATGTCTTTCTTGGAAGAAAGGAGGAGATAGCAACATAGGACTTTTCTGAGTTGTGAATAGAAAGAGAATTGGATCAATTTCAATCGCCTTGCACGCCGGTCATCTTAATAATTCAATGTTTGATAAAGTGCTAACCACTCCACTACGAGACCAAGCCGGCAGACCCCACGCTCACTAACAAACAAAAAACCACTACAGTACTCCAAAGAGTCCCAGAAGGTACCTGGAAAAATCTAAAAAACACTTATTTAAAAAAAAAAAATCCTTTTTTATAAATACAATTTTTAAAATAATTTTTAAATAAATTTTAAAAATTACATATTTAAATTTTTTTAAGCTTAAGTACAACTACATTTAAAAATTAATTTTTGAATTTTTTTCCTACAAAGTTCTAAATTTGTAAGATAATATTTTATTTTTAAAATAAGTATTTTTTCAACTTTATCTAACACCCTCCTTATACCATATTATTATTAAAAAAGTGCATCAGGCACTCTAAATTCTTTAGTTTAAATCATTAAATAAGAAATGAATCTTTTTATATTAAAAATTATTTTTACATTCAATAATTCTTATTTTACAGTTCTCATTATCAAAACTACAAAACAAAACAGAGACCCATTATTATTAATCAATGGAGATGATACTATTTCAAATTCCATGTATCAAAGTGTACTCCTTTAGCCAAAATGAAATGACTTAAGAAAAAATTAACAAATGACAGGGTAGAGTAGACACGAACCAAACTTTACTAAAGAAGAACAAAGTCGCAACAGGTCATGACTGCAAAAATCGAATTGCTAAATATCTAAATTGAAAATATACTTAGGTAAGACCAAGAGTTAACCCACAATTGACATTTGCTAAAAATAAATAAATACAGGAGCCAACTTTTAGTGCAGAAGACCGCAAGGTTCCTTCCACCAGTGTCTAGGTGCCTTCATTCCTCATGTTTGTGTCGACAACTATTAAATCCCAGTTGACATACCAAAATTACAGGCATGTTTCATGCACTTGCTGAAGATCTCTAGCTTTGAATAATGAACTCCACTTGATGTCTTAGATTCTTAGGGTCCCTAGCCATGACAAAGTGCAATCAAAGAGATTCCTTGCGTATTTCTTCAAGAATCCCTAGGTCACTCCCTTTGTGCAATGCAGCTAGTCTCTATCAGTTGAGGGGAAGTATCTCTGAGTATTGAATGGCTGGTACTGAGAATTTATATCATAAAAGTCCGAAGCAGTTCCGCCATTCATTGGAGCAAATGCTGCATCATATTTAAAAACCATTTAAGTTGATATGTTAATAGAGACAGAGACATGCACCACACTTATGCAAGCCTTTTCAGTTTAAGCAAATTGATTCAAGGGATCCATCCAAGAAAGCGAGACCAGAGCAAACAAAGAATTTTTCCCAAATAAGAAATTAAGAATCACTCAAATGAAATTGAGAGTACCTTTCTCCCTCATTCTTTTCTCTCTGTCATACTCAAACTTGTCCCGAAGTTGACTGACCTTGTCCCAAGAATCACCTTGCCTATTCCTCCCAAAACCCTGGTCCTGCAGTTAGGTTATAGAATTGAAGTAGTGGTATTAGACTGAATGCTCAAAAACAAGGAAAGAACAAATTCCAATAAGCATTACAGCATGATCTCATACCGCACTGATAATTCTTTTCATTTCCTAAATTATTCACCAATATTACATTCTACCAAGTCATCAAACTCATACCTTCATTTGATCAGGATGAGATCGCCTGCTCCTGTATAATATAATACAAGCAAAAGGCAGCATGATTAAGCACCTTTAGTTGAAACCTTAGAGTTGCAGATTTAGGTTTAACCACATTAAATAGAACAAAAACAAATAGATTTTAAAGCATAACTTGAAAAGATTATGTGAATCAACAGGTACAAGAAAGGACTGGTGCACATAATTAGATAAACAGATTCGTTAGTGCTATCTATTACTATTCATCCATTGTAACACATGGAAATCAAACTCTACTGCTCTAGCAACATCAACAAAAATGCTCTCTGTAGGCTTTTCTTTAGCAATTAATCAACAACAAATGGAGGAAACCAGCACAAACAAACCTGTAAGGATTAAAATCTTGGTCATCATCCTCAGCAGATTCATAGTTTGCATGATCTTGGGCAATTTTTTTAGAGTACCCTTCATCCCAATACAATCTTTCCCAATTCTCTCTAAGCTCGTTATAAAGCTCCATATACCTTTTGCACCAAGGCTCATGCTCCTTCAGCACAACAAAAATATATAAGGTCAGAGACAAAATAACTAATTCATCCACAGTCCAGAATCAATGATGCAGCATTCAATGTAAAAGCATCTGCATAACAAAGAAATTCAATATACCAACATCTATTGCATCATATTGTAATCCCCTTTATCCGGGAGTGGTTATTGCCACACAGAATAATGTTATGGCCACACAAATTACAAGTTTTTTCCTTAACCAGTTGCTTATAAAATTTAAAAACTTTAGTTTAGAGATTGATATTCAATCTGCTAAGTAATAAATATCCCTTATTCTATTAGCTATAGGCTAATAACTACAGCTATTAACTGTTTTTAAAAGTTAAATCAAACAGAATTAGTACTTTTAAAGACAGAATTAGCAAAATTGTATGGCCATAACATTTTCCCGTGTGGCAATAACCACGCCTCTCTATCCAAGTTCAATATCCTAGACTAAGCAATTGAACCTCTCCCTGCTTCATATTGTTAATTTCAAAAATTGTTATATTCATGGTTTGAAAAAAAAAAAAGCCTAGAACTAGAAGGGAAGTGGTTGTACAGACCGATTCCTTGAGAATGAGACGAGTGCGGCGCATGAACTGCTCTCTAAGCTGCTTTCTACGCTTGTTAGGGATGTTGTCTCTAGGTATGACAAAGCGCTCACGCAGGGGGACATGATCGCCAATCTCGTGCATTTCACCGTCTACAATCCACCACTCGGATTTCTCCTCCGTCTTCTTCAATGAAAACCCCAATGACTTGGAGCGCCTCCTGGACTGACCGGCGTCGGTTCTAGCGAACCGGAGCTGGTGAGTTGTAGACCCGAGGCATTGGGTTAAAGTCCGCAGCCGCTTTGTAACGGAGAACATCGCAACTGATAGGAATGCTGTGTGCGAAACTCTCGTAGGAGAAAAGAAAGCTAACCGAATATCATTTTGATCCCTAAACTTTTTACACTAACTTATTTGACCAAAATAAAGTTGGTCCCTTTATTTTTTTCTTGTAGCGTTTTTGTTTAAACAATATTATTAATATCATCAATTAATCTTTCCATAGAAAAAAATACCATCAACTAATATTTTTTTTTAAACATTTTTACCATGGGACCGGTAGAACTATTGCCCTTTGAAGAGGAGAAAATGAACCTTCAAACGTGACTAACGCCACTTGACCCATAGATCAAGTTCTATCATTAACTAATATTGAAATAGATTTTTTAATAAACTAATAGTGGTTGATGCACCGCAGCTATAGCTACATTGGTAGGGTGCACCTTAATTATGGACGCTATCATAATTTTATTTTTTGTAGTGTTATCTCCCTTCTCTTAATTTCTTAATGTTTTTTTAAAAAAAACTAATGGTGGTTGATAAGTAGTATCATATGCGATCGCTTCAATTAAATAAATTTATTGATAATTACTTAAAATTTAAAATAAAAAATTAAAGTTAAATGTGAAATTAAGAAAAAAAAATTCATTCATATTATGCATTTGTACATATATTAGAAGCTTGAGAGTACAATTAGGCGTGGGAAAGGATACACATACACCCCACAACCTCCGTGAAAAAAAAAATAGTATTGCATTCTTAATCATAATCCTTTACTTGTATTTTTGTAGTTTTAAATTCTTTTTAATTTTTTATACATTTCTTTTATTTTTATCTTCTTATATTAATAAGAAACATCATGCGAATTCAAAAACAATGCTAGCCATATTGTACTTTACTTTTCTAATATAATAAAATTAGTTTTTTTTAAATTCGCTCTACATTTAAAACGTTAGTTTAAAATTAAAAACGATAAAATTTGTTTAACAAATTAGGTGAATCATATAATCATGACAAATATAAACTTGTGATATAGGAACTAAATTATTTTAGTTTAAACTTTTCATTTTTTTCCAAGATTTAAACCCCATTTTTTATCCTAAACTTTTATATTGAACCCTTTTTCACTTTTTGATCATGTTCATAACAAAATAAAAATGTAGTTTAAACTTTAAGTTTATAACCTTCCATTTTTTTTATTTTTTACTTATAGAAATGTGACGTAATAGACTGCATATTTTATAAACATGGTATGGACGAGCCCCTTATTTTGTTGTGCCATTGGACGGAGTGCAAAACTCCAAAGTCCAAACCCTCCCACTCCGAAATGTTGTTTTTAGTGGCTAATTGCAATCCACCATTAAAAATTGCGATCTGTAATGAAACTATCAAATAAATTAGTAAACTCTTTTGCTTAAATTGGAGAATTGAACGTGAGTCGTGAAGGATCTAAATAATTTAACATTTTTTTTAGTAAAAATAAAATAAAAAATTTAAATTTAAATTACACAACATATAAATTTGTGATAAAATTTAAAAGGCGAGAGATGAATTTTTTTTACTGTATAATTAAGATTTAGAAAAAAAAAGTAAAAAAAAAAAAAAAAGGAAAAAGAAGGAGAATTAGACGATCACAAGGTCTCCACAGAGACAAGCGCGGAGCACTAGAGAGAAAAAAAAACAGTTCGCACACATTCCCGCCCATCCTCCCTCGCGAAACCCAAGCTAGTTAGAGAGAGAGATGTGCGGAAGAGCTCGCTGTACTCTCAGAGCCGATGACATCCCTCGCGCTTGCCATCGCACCGGTGGTCCGGTCCGCTCCGTTAACATGGACAGGTACTCTTTTTCTTTTTCTTTTTTTTCCGGTATGTGTATCTGTTTCTAAGAGATGATGTTCTGCCGATTTGAGCTTGATTTTGTTTAAAGGTACCGTCCGTCATATAACGTTGCTCCGGGAGCCAATTTGTCGGTTGTTCGGAGAGATGATGGGTCCGGTGGCGACGGCGTGGTTCTCCATTGTATGAAATGGGGATTAGTTCCAAGTTTCACCAAGAAAACTGAGAAGCCTGACTTCTTCAAGATGGTAATTAGGTTCTCTTTAATGTTTCTTAACGCAAATTAGTAAAGGAAGTATATAGGTTTCAAGTTGGATTAAATTAATTTATTAGTCAAATTTAAGAGGAGTGGGGAGGTGTCAAAAAAGATGAAATTTTCTAGGGATTTAATTGGAATTCGTTGCTTTTAAAATACTCTTCTAGTTCAGCAATTTCTAGTAACTATTGTAAGTAAATTTTTTGTTCTATAGGTGTTCTCTTATGAGCCAAACCTGCTTTGTGGGAAATTATGTGCTTTGTAGGAAATTATGTGATCTAACATGGCTTGCAAATGTACAGTTCAATGCTCGGTCTGAGTCAATTTCTGAGAAGGCTTCTTTTCGTCGTCTACTTCCTAAAAATCGGTGCCTTGTGGCTGTAGAAGGGTATGGATGATGAAATGACCAGTTATTAATCTTTGTAACATTAAATTAGATTGCTTTTAAATTGGTTGTGGAAGTGCTTTATTTAAATTTTGTTTTTTTTTTTTTTGGACCATTTATTTGCTGCAAATTATAAACTGGTTTAGGTGTATCTTCTAATGAGTTCTTTTATGCTACCATGAAATAAAATTCATATGACATGGATGATAGTATTGGCATACTTTTCTAACCATAGTTTTATATGATTTTGCAGAAAAATATTTTGTTTTTACCTTACTTCTCTAAGGAAGCTTTCTCTTATCATCCATAATTATTCTGCCTTTTAACTGTTATAATTCAGTTAATGGCAGCCAAATAACTTCAATCAGAGCAGTTCATTTTGTCTCCCTTGCTAGGAGTTAGCTTTCTTGACCCTATGGAAGGTTTGAATCATCCCATGACATGGTTTTTTCTATTAATCACTTTTTAGTTACCTAAAGTGTTAAAAGCTTCATTTGTAATTCCGGTCTCCTACAAATTAAATTATAATGTAAGACTCCCTACTTGATTGTCATGTTAGTGTTTTGTCCTCAGTTGTATATCCCATTTTGCTTACTTGTATTAGGTGTGTCTAGGCATTGCCTGCCGCTGGTAGGAAATTTACATGTGGATTTTTTTGCAGGATTATGGAAAGAAAAATATAATGCAATGAGGATAAGCTGCCACTAAAGACTTTCAAGGGTCTTTGAAATCTTATAAACATGAATATAGTTACTTCAAACTATTAAAAATGCTTATGAATGAAACTGTTTCAGAGCCAATTGTTAAATTTAAAGTTTCACATTAATCCCATATCTAAACCTATCCTAAGGAGGACTATTCTGTGCTTCTTGGTTTCTTCTTGTTTGCTGTGCTCTTCCTTTTATGGAGAGCTCTATTATCTTGCATTGATCTTCATTCCCTCAGCAGAAATCTGCAGTAGATTTTTGCTAAGAGTGCTCTGATGACAACAATTTATGTCCAATGTACAAGAACCTGACGTAGCTTAAGAATAGCAGAAGGATGGCGTCAGTAGACTCAGTACAGGGCAGTCTAGTTTTATTGAAACAATGTTTCTAATTAAGTGCCTTTGTCACTTGTGGAAGCTAGGAAAAATGAAAACTTAAATCTTTATGTCCTACATAAGACTGGTAGTCAAAACCTTAGTCCTTCTGATGCTAGGGATCTCCACTTCTGGGTTAGTTAATTGTATTTTGTACTTGTACTTTGTGTTTTACTTTGGTTTAATTATTTTTTGTGCTTATGCCAAACATTTATTTGTGGCATAGTATCACCATTGGAAAACCTATCTGCTTCTGCAAAGTCCTTTATGTGTATGATTTATGTCAATGATGTGTGTGTTGCTTGTGTATTCTTCAGATTCTATGAGTGGAAAAAAGATGGGTCAAAAAAGCAGCCATTTTACATTCACTTCAAGGATGGCAAGGCTCTCTTGTTTGCTGCACTTTACGACTGTTGGGAGAATGCTGAAGGTGAACTGCTTCTTAGGTTTTTATTTATTTATTTTTACAGTGCTGCCTTGTATTCTGTATTCCTTCCTCCTTTGTGTTAATAAATTATGATAAAAATCTTATAGGTTCTTTGCTTTTATCATTATGTTTTCTAGTCCAGACAGTAATACATTTCTAAATTATAACTTGATTTACTCTCATTCCTTGATAAGATTTGTTATCTGTGCCGCTAATCATCAAGCTGTTTCTTTTGAATTTCTTGTTGATAGGGCTGCATGTTGTAGCAATTCTCAAGATAGCCTTGTTTCTTTGTCCATCTGTCTATATTGCTTTATTTTCAAGAAGTTTTGAAAGTTTTAAGAAAACTTGATCAGATGTTGACATGTGTTGTGAAGAGCTGGTTCAGGTTTAATAGATTGTAGGTTTGCTTATGCAGGTGAGAAACTTTATACCTTCACCATACTTACAACATCTTCGTCATCAACCTTACAATGGCTGCATGGTGAGTTTTGCATATTTGAATTTATTCCATTACCATATTGTCCTTAGTACCAGAACAAGTCTGAATATTTTAGGACCAGGTTCCGCTTGTGTTATTTTAAATAATCTGGATTGACTCATGGTGCTTTTGCTATTAAAACTTGACACCTAATATTTTGGCAGAGCAAGCTGTCAAATTAGGGGGGGAGGGGGGGGGGGGGGGAAAACAAGATAACTGAGTCCAAACATTTAAACCCTAGATTTTAATGAACAAATAAATACATGAACAACTATGTAAGTAAGATCATACACTGTTATTTCATGGAATTAATCTTATCCTGATTCCTTAAAATTGTTGAAAGAAAAAGGTATTGGGGGAAATGGATAAATTGTATTCATATCAAGCCCCAGCAGGGTATTTACAAGATATACCAGGCATAACTGGTGTGTACAAGATCACACAAGATATTCCAACAAGATTTAGCTTTCTTATTAGTGTATTAAAGCCTTTTTTCATTAATAGGAAGAAAAGGGAAATTATACAAGACATGGAGTTGGTTTTACTGAAGACATCACAAACACATAAAAAGCCATAGCTTTTTGTCATTTAAAGGAGTCCAGCAAGGTTCACAAATGCAAGCACAAATCATTTAACTTTTACTTTTGAGTTGTTTTGAGTTATACACCTTTGTGTATAGCATCTGGAATCCTTGATGGTCAAAGACAGTAGAGTTACAATTCCATTTCAAAATCTTTGAATATGAATGCATTGATGATATCCTTAGGAAAAAGGGAAAATCAGTGCTCAGTCAGTGGAAACAAATGCTGAAAATTGGACTATAAAGTATAAATTATGCAGTAAATATGGTTGGATTAATTTCTATAATTCTATTTTTGGAATAAGAATGTAGTTGTTAAGTTTTGGTTTCTTCCATTTTTTATATGATGTTGTAAGTGAGAAAGTTATGAAGATTTCTTGCTTCTCTGATCCTCCTACCACCCTCATCTCCGCTGTTAACCTATTTATTATTCTTATAGACAGGATGCCAGTAATTTTGGGTGACAAGGGCTCAATGGATACATGGCTTAATGGTTCTTCATCTTCTGAATTCAATACATTGCTTAAGCCATATGAGGGTCCAGATTTGGTAAGAGCTTTCCAAAACAGCTTTGATCCTTTAAGTTTGCTTGCTCTTTTTTTTTTTTTGGGTGGAACTTTAAGTTTACCTTTTAAGATTCTAAAATTTAAATCTTCAGGTATGGTATCCAGTGACCCCAGCCATTGGTAAGTTGTCTTTTGATGGACCAGAGTGCATTAAGGAGGTATGGCAAGTTGGCTTTACATAATGTTACTGTACTAGCTCAGGGTGTAACTGTTGCACATTATAGAGGTCTCACCTCACTGAATATAAGGAACTGCTAAGATTTCCCATATCATAGTTACTAATTATCATGTTTAATTGCATAAAAAAAAATCATGTCTAAACAAGAGCCATGGTCTATGTCTTCTGATTTCTCCATTTAACTAGCTTAGTTGAGAAATTGTTCTTTGCTTCAGCAGAAGTATTTGTCTAAAGTCACATTTGTTAGTATCTCTTTGTTCTTGTATAAGTTTAAGAGCACGTGCCCCATACTCTATGCCTATTCTGTGTTTTTCAGATAAAGATACAGACAGAGGAAAAGAATACAATCTCAAAGTTTTTCTCAACCAAGGGAGTTAAAAAGGAAGAAGATGCAATCACAGAGGAGAAAAGTTTGTTCCACAAATCTGTCAATACAAATTTGCCAAACGTAAAAGAGGAACCTAAAACTGAAGATAATGAAGGAAGTCCATCCTCAGCTGAAAAGAAGGATAATGACTCAAAATCTAGTGTTTCTCTGTTAACTCATGAGGTGTCAAGAAAGCCAGCTTTGCTGAAAGTCTTAAAAGAGGAACCTAAAGCTGAAGATGAAAAATTTTCATCTCCAACTGAGAAGAAGGACAATAATTCAAAATCTGATGTTCCCATTTTGATTGCTGAGGCTCCTGTGAAGTGCCAAAGCAAGCGAGACTATGTGAACTTTTTGGCTGATGAAAAACCTGCTAAAGATGGAATAGCTACAGGCAAGAGTCCTGCAAAGAAGAAGGGAAACTTAAAAGGTAACGATGATAAACAACCCACACTGTTTTCTTACTTTGGGAAAAGATAGCCTCGTGTGGCTCCAGGCGCAGATGCTGCTCTTGCCTACTCCAGGTCTACAAACAACTGATAGCCTTGAACTAGAGATTGTTATTGGTATCTATTTAACCATGCATCTGTAAGATCCCTCTGTCATTTCAATATTAGGATCAAACTTTTAATTCTGTACAGTTAATGAATGCTTTGGGAAACCTAAGCTATCTATGTAGTTAGGTGGGAGTCATCTCACATTTTGTATGTTGTCCTTTGGAATGCAGATGCTCAATATTCCTGTTTTCTCATGATCTTACTTAGGATGAAGCAGAGAAAACTGTCTTGAGACATTTTTAAGTTTTTAACCAAAATTAGGAGCTACATACAACTCATGCGCCCCTCTCTCTATTAGGGTTAGGGTTTGAATTGTCGGTTTTTTCCATCGTTATTTCTATTCCCATGGGGGAGTTTTTATCTTTCTTTTCAATTTATCCATCCATAATTTACTCTATTTTTTTTTTGTTTTTTTCCTTTACTTTTGGTTCTGAATCTATCTCGATCTTTTCTATCTTCTCTTTTAACCAAAAAAAGAAAACAAAACAAAAAGAAGGCTAGCAGTAACAAATCAAAGGCAAGCTGCATATATATCAGCGTGATTTCGATTTATTTCTAATCATGAAAGATTTGAAGGATTCTAGGGTTTGATTCTAGTTTTTTAGGTGGGTGGTGTTTGAAGCGGTGGGCTTAAAGCGGCAACTCTATTGGCAAGTTCTTGAGTTTCATTGCCACGTTGACTTTGATCGGAAAAGCAATAATTCCAATAGAAGGGGCCGGTGGGTTTATCTTTGGAGGTTTCGATGGTCTCGACTGAGCTCATTGTTTGATCTTGAATTGAAGTGTAGGGAGGAAGTTTTGTTGGGTTGCTATGAGAATCAAAAATCCAAGTTCAGGCGAGTTTAAGGGCCAATTTGGGTTATATAGAGCATCTAATAAAGTAATAAATATTGATAAAAATAAACAGGTATTATAACATTGATGAGTAAGTAGAAAATACATAAGAAAATAATTGTAAGATAAGAATACAGAAACTAAATATTAACTAAAAGGTAAAATAATGAACAGTTTTTTATTAAATAATAAGTTATATAAGAGAAAATATATATTTTTTCAAATCTCTTTTTACCCAATTCAATATTTAAATTCGAGATTTGAAATTTAAAATCTCATACTTAATCAATTGAGTTAGCCCTTGGGCACTGAATTTGGTTGTTTATGAAGCATCTATTATTATTATCACAAGGTTCTAAACTAAAAATTCTTTTGAACCAGCATGACTCTACCTCCAAAAGTTAAGCAAGGAGGCCATCACTCTCTTACTAGATACTTCTATTGATCTTCGGGATAGTTATCGGCAGGTTGGGCACTATTGATAGCCAACATCCCTAAATATAAGGTATAAATAAGAATATTAATATTATATTTTTTTATTTAAAAAGATTAATTTTAT